GGTGAACTATAAATCCCAGCAACTACAACTCCCAAATGTCAAGATTCTATTTTCCCCAAACTCCACCAGTGTTCACATTTGGGCATATTGAGTATTTGTGTAGAGTTTGGTCCAGATCCATCATTGTTTGAGTCCACAGTGATCTCTGGATGTAGGTGAACTACAACTCCAAAACCAAAGGATGCTCCACCAAACCCTTCCAGTATTTTCTGTTGGTCATGGGAGAACTGTGTGCCAAGTTTGGTTCAATTCAATCGTTGGTGGAGTTCAGAATGCTCTTTGATTGTAGGTGAACTATAAATCCGAGCAACTACAACTCCCAAATGACAAAAATCATTTTTTTAAGTGAAGGACATACATTGGGTTGTTAGGTGCATTGTGTCCAAATTTGGTGTCAATTCGTCCAGGGGGTTTTGAGTTCTGTTAATCCCACAAACAAACATTACATTTTTATTTATATAGATGAAGTAAGTAACAAGGGAGTCAATCCCTCTCTTTCAGGCGGATGTCAGTATGAGGTCACAATGGTCAATATATCTTACTCTTTCAGCCAAACAGCAACAGCATTAGGCATGCTGACAATTCTCTTTCCTTTAAGTTTGCATCATCAGCATGAAGTCACAATGAGAAGTCTCTAAGAAAGTAACACCAGCTTTAAGTCACAATAACTAATCTCTGTCTACAGAGTCAGCATCAGCAGGCCAGCACTTAAGCTTATTCCTCATTGAAGCGATAGCACTATACAGGTTAAGCTTTCCTCACCCTCCACACTCTGAAGCAAAGAGAAGCAGGATAGTCTTTGTTTCTATTGCTAAGGTAGGCTGTGGATGTGTGCTGCTACAATGAGCCAGCAAAGGGTAGTGGTTTGAGTGTTGGACTATGACTGTTAAGAGACTTCAGTGTCCTACTCAGTTATCAAAATCCTTTAGGTGACCTTTGGCAAGTCAAACATACTTAGCCTAGGAAAACCTCATGAATGGCTCAAAAGCATATAGCAACAGACAAAAACAATGGGCATCAGTGTATCTTTCATTGAAATATGAAGTAGTATACAAGTTGGAAAGCAGCAGGCAAGAGGAGACATGGCAAGTCAACAGTCCCTATATTAACGTACTACTAAATTTTAAAAGTAGTCCCATAGGCAAATTTGGAAATAACAATAATGGATGCAATAATGTCAGCACTCCAGTATGACAGAATGATTAAATGCAGAGACATACAGAACTGGTCATCACTGGAGGGACCAACTGATTTTACACCTCCAGATATATTGGGGTTTCAGATTTTGGTGTGTGCCACAAAAAGTTCAGATTACAGGAGAAAAGAAGACATTGAATTAAAGGTCAATGGATAGGGCAACACATACTGAATGTTATGCTTTACTTACTTACTTAGGCGATCCCTCGTTTTCCGAGGAGGATTGTCTTCCAGTGTTCTTGTGAGTCCGTATGTGGCTGTGGAGCCCTATTCTTGCTCTGCATCTTCTTCCGCAGTGAGGGCATTGGTTTCCAGGTGGAAGACTGTCTCGGTCGTTGTTGGCTTGACATGCCTTCCTCTTGGCACGCTTCTCCCTTTCGCCCTCCATTCGTGCCTCTTCAAATTCTGCAGCACTGCTGGTCATAGCTGACCTCCAGCTGGAGCGGTCAAGGGCCAGGTCTTCCCAGTTCTCAGTGTCTATGCCAGAGTTTTTTAAGGTTGGCTTTGAGCCCAACTTTAAATCTCTTTTCCTGTCCACCAACATTCTGTTTTCCGTTCTTGAGTTCGGTGTAGAGCAACTGCTTTGGGAGACGGTGGTCGTGAATGTTATGCATACTGAATACAGCAACATAGGCATCATACTATAGTCAATGAGATGAAACAGAGCATTTTACAGGTGGTGTGTGCATAAAGGACCAATGGAATACAGAGAAGAGGGGGGAAGGAATTGAATTATTTTAATTCTGCAGCAGTGAGAAAAGCTTTGAAAATCCATGGAGAGAGTGGTTGGGTGTCTTCCCTGCTTTCTCATCATTGCCCTAGCTGGTCATGTGCAACAATGCTAGCAGAGCTGTACTTTTCCAAACAGCAGTTACTGGTGCCCTTAAAGAAATAATACCTGTAGCCCTTTGTACCATGCCAAAGCATTATTCAGGTTAAATCTAAGGTAAATGATTGAATACAAAATCAAACTTTAAAAGTAAGTGTTTGAGTGTGTGTGTGTGAGAGAGAGGAGGGGAGACTATAATTTGAAGCACAAATATTCAAAGAAACAATTTGCTGAACAGACACATGTAATAGACAGGAACCCAAATTCACAGCCTCAGAAGTTCTTGCTTTGATTATCCCCCCCCCACTCTTCCACATTGCCAATTTGTGACCTGCACAACCAGGGTTTTGTCCACCTGTGTCACAGTGTTGTCTGATGTATTACCCAGTCATCATTATCCTTGTTCTTTCTATCTGTTCTTTTGCTTTCTCCCCTTTCCTTAAATTGTCCCAATGTTTTGCACACCAGCATCCTGGTAGCCAGCTGAGACAATACTAAAATTAAATGTTGTTTGTTTTGTCTTCTATTTTGGTCCCCACAATAACTAAAGAGGATCAGACAAATTATTTATAGCTCCTGTGTGTTGTAGTTCAGCATGTTGACAGAGTTGCTACTCCTAGTAGCAGAGGGGAAAGGTCTCCTCAGGAGTCGGAGGGAGAACAGCAGCGTCAGCGCATTAGAGAAATCATCATGGCTCCAAGTGATACCGATACGTTTCCAGGTTTCTCAGATTACAAAATGGGAAATGGGGAGGTGAGCAGAGGTGTAAAAAGGGCTGCTCGCTAGCCGGAGTCTGAGGGGGAATTACAGAGGAAGCGTATTCGGGAAATGCTTAGTGCACCAACTGAGGAGGATGACTTCCTGGGCTTCGAGGGGAGTTCTGGGTCTGAAAGTGATATGGAGGGGGAGGAATTGGATTGGACCCGTGTGCAACACATAAGGGATATCTGTAACCAGCCCACCTCTAGTGAGGAGTTTGAGGGGTTCACTGGGGACTGGCAGCCAGGTGATTCTTGGCAGGATCTGAACCCTGATAGTAATTGGCAGAGGTGGAGGGATGGGCACTCAGCTGCAGACTTGGGAGCAGGTGATAGTGATGACGAGAGGGTGGGGAGCTCATCAAGCTTTGAGGATGATCTTTGAGATATAAGGGGGTTCTGTTGGCACATCTAGTTGCAGGAAGCAAAATGTCTTTATTGGACATAATTCTTTGTGCTGCCAACTCTCACCCTTGGGTCCTGGGCTTCAGCTTCGTGTGTTCCTGAACCTCTGTTTCTCCAGTGATTCCAGCGTTGCTTTTCATCGGATTGACCACGGACCGGTTTGACTACGCTCTGGCTTTTCTGGACTTTGTTTGCTAATATCTTTGTGACTGAAACATTTCTTAGTTTTGAAATTGTGTTTTTCTTGCTCCAGTGACTGTTTTTTCTATACCTCGATTTTCAAGCAGTTTGCTTCACTTTTTGTTTAAAGAGGATTATAAGGCAACGCTATAATCCGGATTATATTTTTGTTTGTTGAAACAACTTCTTTTTGATGCCAAATCATTCCTAGGACCTTCAGCACTGCAGTTAAGTGCGTTTTTGGTCCTTTTGTTTTCAATAAAGCTGTGTTTGAACCTTTGTTTTGTGTCTGGCATTGTTTGTAAGCATCTGGATCCTGACACTGTGTAATACAAACATAAGAACATTTCCCAATATTCTTGCAGATTAATAAACAGAAACTCTCCTAGTGTAAAAGATGGCATCAGTCCACATGTGGTGAGCAATACTCTAATAGTCAAATCATTGAGTTAATTCAATGAAGAATATCACTCATCTCCTAATATTGGTACTTGATATGGCCAAGTTCCTGGCTTCATCTCAGGTGCTATTTCAGCATGCAGTATTTTTGCTCCTATGTGTATTGAGTTACAGATATAATCTCCACCATATTCTTTAGGCCAGTGTTACTTAATTTGGAAGTCAATTGACTGGTGTTGTGCTGTGATCTGTTGCGATGTTGATTTGTGGTCTGACTCCTGGTCTGCTGCAAGTTCCAAGAAAAAAAATATTAGTTTTAACCCATCAGCATGAATGTGGTACCAGTCTCTAGCACAATGGTGTAAAAATGCATATCTGTCACATCAGATAACCAAAAAAGTACAAGGTCAATTTCTATAGCAGGAAAATTTGTATGGTGGCTGTTCCAGCTGCATGGTTCTTTTCTCCAGAACAGAATATCCTCACAGGATAAGGGATAGTGCTTTTCAATGTTCACTACATTCTCACTTAATTTCCTTCTTTTCAATTTGTTACAATGTTGCATTTACACACACACATCCACCACATGCAAATTCTAGGCAAAAATGCACCCCAACTACAGTACTTTTAGTAAAAAGAAATAGCATTTTGTTTACAGAAAATCATGTTTCTGGACAGAAAATATTTCTGTGCAGAAAATGCTGTTTTCTGTAGGAAAAAAAAACCATGGGCAATTTTTTTAGGGAATGCTTTCAATTACTTTTTTGGAGCACGGAGAAAATTTCTAAAGGTATATGTTGCTTAGCTCAAAAACAAAATTAGTGGGATTTTTTTCTTTTAGCCACCAGTGTGGAAGGAACCTGGGATAAATGTGCACAATTACTGGAACAAAGAAAGAGATGGAGTTTTAAGCACATAGGTAGCATTATCAATAAAGGGATAAACCAATTTGCTGTAGACTAAAATTGTAGCAAAGTAATCTATAGCAAATGGCATACTGAAATTATACTTCCAGATAAAACAGAAGGCATTAATATAAGCAAAGACCCTAGGCATTTGTCAATTTAAAGCTCTGTAATTATACTCTTGGTACTGTTTGGATAATAGAACATCTTGTTCTATTCTGTGAATATTTCCTTTGTTTCCATATACATTTCTCATCTCACAGCTGTTAGAGGTATTTTAGACATGTTGAAACTATACCATTATCTCACTTGTGTTTCTAATTGCAGTTGGCAACATGGGACTCTGAGAAAGGACTGAATGGAAGCCTGCAGGAACGGCGCTTGGGTAGTGACCTACAAGGATTAACACTGAAAGTGGTGACTGTCTTGGTATGAACATGTTTGAGTTGAGGAAGCAAACTGTTAAAAATATATATGATGCCCCCCCTCCCCATAAAACAATATTTAATTGTTAGCACTTTAAAAGTTTTGTTCAGTATCTCATTGTCTGCAGCATATGCAAGTGATATTCTTTGTAGCATGCCATTGGTATACCAAACGGTTTTACAATTGGAGCACTTCACATTCTAAGTTACTGCCATTTTTCAGCTCCTTCCCTGTGTGATCTTTGAAATGAGCTCATGTGGAAGTTTGTGTTTTGTCCAGTTCTTGTAATTTAATACATATTGACTTGACAAAACACAGTTCTGATAAAACACTCAAAGTAATCCATAATTAAGACAGCTAGTTCCTTGTAACTGGCTGATTGAAATTAATTTGCTTTCCCAGTAAAGAGGATATAATTATATCATATTATAATATTTGCATGGATTTTTGGAAACTCAATTTCTCACCTATCAGAAAATTATTCTTTTACTTTCTTTCCCTCACAAACCCATCTTCTTGTCCCCTTTTTATAAAGCTTACATTTATTTATTTATTTATTTATTTATTTATTTATTTAAAAGTTTTATATACCGACCTTCTCACTTCTCTTGAGGGACTCAGACCGGTTTCCAACCATAATATCACATACAGTCAATAAAACAACATAATTCATATTACAATAAAACCTTGAAACAGCAATTACATTCAATAACTATAATGGTCAGTTGTCACACTAAAATCGTTGTTCATCATCCTCCATCCATATCTCAGGGTGTTGGCTCACTCGTCGAATGCCTGTCTCCATAATCACATCTTCACCTGTTTCCTAAATGTCAGGATAGAAGGGGTGGTTCTGATCTCCAGTGGGAGAGAGTTCCAGAGTCGAGGGGCCACCACCGAGAAGGCCCTGTCCCTCGTCCCCACCAGATGCGCTTGCGAGGCCGGTGGGACCGAGAGCAGGGCCTCTCCAGACAATCTTAATAATCTTGATGGTTCATAGGGGAGAATACATTCGGAGAGGTAAACAGGGCCGGAGTCGTTTAGGGAATCTTTTGTTATGCATCATAACAAAAGATTCCAGATATATATATATATATATATATATATATATATATATATATACACACACACACACACACACACACACATATACACACACACACACATACAGTTTCCTAGGGAACAATATGGACTCTTATCTGATGCCTAATCTGGAACACATGAGGATCACCTGGATGCATCCCCTTCCAAAATGCTCTTACTACCTTTGGTGTAAAAAACATTGTAACCAGAAAATACCAAAGGAATAAAAAGTTGTTTTGCAAACATTTAAGCAAGCTAGGCTTAAGATGAAGAACCAACAAAGTAATATAAATCATGTCAGCTCTTTAAAACACCAGCTAATTTAATTCAGACCTGAATGCTGTCAATAGTACCCTCTACATCAGGTCCCCTCCACACTGCCTCTATATCCCCGGATCTGATCCCAGATTATCTTCTTATCTGGCAATGTAGACTCAGGGCCCATCTACACAAAGCGGGGGGTGGCTACATGATGGTAGTGGAAAATCTGTGCTGATTTGCTGCAGCTGACGAAAAGCAAGGGGCAAAAGGTTCCCCCTTTATCCCAGTTCCAGCTGGAAAATGTGCATATTCTCATCACTGTATATCCGTACACTTGTGGAAAAAACACATGATTCATCCCCCCCCCCCCGGCATGGAGACTGCTCCAGCACATGTCGGCTTTCAAAATTTAAATTAAGTAAGCACAAATTGAGAGCAATTAGAACTCTCCGAAACTCTCCGAAACATTATGTACAGAAGCCTATATGAGCACATACAAATCTGCTTGTGTTTATATTTAGATATTCTTATGAGCACATATATGATCCAACACATATTGGAGTGATTTTTTTTAATCCTGCTGACGGATGTCCCCCATCTGCCCTCTATCTCAGTGGGGGGAGAAATCCCAGGACCCATAGTTCTCAGGTCCTAGGTTTTTTGTCCTCAGTTTAAAATGCACATTTTTGTGCTGTCTGGAAGCAACCTCATATAATCCAGTTTAAAGCAGATAATCTGGGATCAAATTCTAGGATACAGAGCAGTGTTGAAGAGGTCTCATAGTCTTTGAATTTATTTCTTCTATTTGAGGCTACCAATGAAATCCAGGCTTCTATTAATAACACATCTCTGTTAAAACATGAATGCACAAATCCTAACCTAGGCCAGTCACTTTTGTTATTACAGACACAGTGTGCATCTGCATTGTAGAATGAATGCAGTTTAACACTACTTTACAGTACTGATGGAGCCCCCAGTGGTGCAGTGGGTTAAACCCCTGTGCCGGCAGGACTGAAGACCAACAGGTCGCAGGTTCAAATCTGGGGAGAGGCGGATGAGCTCCCTCTATCAGCTCCAGCTCCTCATGCGGGGACATGAGAGAAGCCTCCCACAAGGATGATAAAACATCAAAAATTATCCAGGCGTCCCCTGGGCAACGTCCTTGCAGACAGCCAATTCTCTGACAACAGGAGCGGTTGCTCCTGACACTACAAAAAAAAATATACACTACTTTAACTGATATGGCTGAATGCTATGAAATCTTGAGATCTGTACTTTGGTAAGACAGATCTTTGACAGAAAAGGCTGGAGACCTTTAAAATCACAACCGCCATAATTTCATAGCATTAAGCCATGGCAGTGGTGTCAAACTGCATTAATTCTACTATGTAGATGCACCCATAGAAAAAAGAGTTAAATAAGTTTGCTTTTTTATTGGCAAATATATAACATAATGTATAATTTTATGGATTGCAGTTCATTAATTCCTATGAATGTTGGTGAAGGTGCATTTTTGGTGTAATAGTAATGCTACTTTATACTTAAAGAGCTATGGTCTTACTACATGGTGAAGTAAGGATTCCACTTGCTACATAGTAGTGGACCTCCTGCCCTATTTATGGATATTGAGGTTAATGAAATGAACAGGAAGTGTGTTTTGTATCATAGTCCAGTGATTAAAAATATTTAGGTTGCTACCACCACATCCCATAGAAAAACTAAATTTTGCATAGTCAAAACATCCAAGGAATTATTTCCAGTTTCCTATCAACGCACTATTGTGGCCTATCAGCCTCCAAAATTTCCTCCTGCCCAAGTGTAGTAGTCAACCCCTGCACTTCACAAAGATAAAGACAGTTTTAAAAAGGAAAGGAGAGGATTTACTAATCTATATTGAAACCTTTACAAAAGCTATTTCCTATTGATGTTTATAGAAACTACTTGGGTTGGGGTTTTTTTGGGGGGTTTTTTTGTGGGAAGAGGTGATGGAAATCTATTGACACTAACACAGTTGCAGTATTTTAAGTTGAAGGGAGCATTTTTGATGTCTTAGGGTCAATCTTATAATACACAAATACATACATTTGAAATACTAATATTTGGTAGATTTTCCACTTTAGATAATTAGAGTGGTAAGGAAGTAATAGGCTCACCCCAAAATGTGATTTTGTGTGTGGGGGAGGGGGATACAAACCATGGGTTCACTGAAAATAATAATATTAATTCTAGTAAGAGTTTAACTGAAACATTGATTGATGTAATCATTTTGGTTAACCAGGGTCTTCTTATTTTCCAAATGTTTCCTGAGATTTATTCAAAAATAGAATTGTCCTGAAAGGAAGCTAAGAATACCAACAACAATGCCCCTTCAACTAATGAGAAAGATAACTGTATTTTTCTTGGAATTGAAAAAAAGACATAGAAAAAGACTGGGTGTACTTGGGAGAAATTCAGACAACCAGTGCAAAATGAAACTATGGAGAGAATTAAAACAGATGGATCTAGGCAAATCAAACTGCTATTTATAACGGGATTTCAAACAAAAAACTGAAAATCTTTATGACAATTTATTTAGCCTTTTAAACATATTATCTCTAAGGAAACAAGAAAAATGTATCTAGGCTTAGAATGAAATAAGTTAAAGCTGCATAATGCATATTAAAGTGGGAGGTATACTATCTACCAAGTACCTTCCAAAATAGATATTAGATGGCATTTTGTTCTGTGAAATTCTAATTTCCCACTTAACTGGAGAGAAGGTGGAGGGAAGAATTCTCCTGTCGTAAAGTGGCAATATTTAAAAAGGAGGAGATGATTTTTTTTTTGCCAAGATTGCAGAGGAAGGTCAGCTTCTATGACGCCTTCTTAATGTTATCATTATATAGAAGAGGCATTGCAAATCTTTCTAGCAAAGACTATTTTATCTGATTCTTTTAAGTATAAGGTAAAACACAGAAACTGATGATCTTTTTTTTTTCTTTCCAAAATGTTTAAGGGTCCTGGAATACTTCTTTACTAGGGAAGATATTATAATCAATAATGACCTAGAAGACAATTTGATATTGTTTTGATGTCCTTTTATACAATTCATGAACCCCTTTTAGTTCTCCTGATGCCCATGCAAAGTTCTAGTTATGATCAATTTCCTCATTTGTAGCTTTATGACTGGAGCCCCCGGTGGCGCAGTGGGTTAAACCCCTGTGCCGGCAGGAGTGAAGACCGACAGGTTGCAGGCTCAAATCCGGGGAGAGGCGGATGAGCTCCCTCTATCAGCTCCAGCTCCTCATGTGGGGACATGAGAGAAGCCTCCCACAAGGATGATAAAAACATCAAGTCATCTAGGCATCCCCTGGGTAACGTCCTTGCAGACAGCCAATTCTCTCACATCAGAAGCGACTTGCAGTTTCTCAAGTCACTCCTGACACAACCAAAAAAAAAAAAAAGCTTGATTATTCAATCATGCTTCTTGTTAGACTTTCCATTTTCTATCTATCGCAAAAGCTTGAGATATAGATAGATGGATGGATAGATAGATATTTGTTCCAATATATATTACATTAAAATCACTTTTAAGAGAAAGGAACATAGTCATTTCATAAGCAAGACCTACACCTCTCATTCCAAATTCTGAAAATAGTTGTATTTGCAGCTCTAGGTGCATCTGCAGTTTTGTCATATAAAGATTTTCCGCTTCAGCCAGTTATATGCCAAAAATAGCCTTTTTAAGAATTAGGAAGTTACATAATAATATTTTGCTGTGGCCTGTACCCATTACTGAGCAGTGCATATAAAGATTTGTTTCCTGAAGTTTTCATTTAACCAACTTGGGGAGCTTATCAAAATGTGAGCATTAAAGCTCACATAGCTCCATCACTTTGGGAACTCCAAGGGCTACCTTAGAAACTGCTTGGTTCCCTGGATACTTAAAAACAGTATTTGGAGATTTTTAACACTTATGTGTATCGCCCACCATTGGACAACAATAGTTAGAGTGTCAAAGAGGAAGTGCCAAAGCACATTGAAAAACAAAAATCTTTCTGAAACAAATGGAAGTGAAAATTAAAATTTTAAAAGCTGGTGACACTTTGCCTATTTACCTGCCATGACTTCATCTAAAAAAAATCATGGAAATTGTAACTTGGTGAGAACACTGAGAATTCCCAAAGTCCTCTTGAGAAAAACGAAAGGGTATTAAAATAGCTTCAGATTATCTTGATAGCATATTTGGGTTGCACTATATACTACAACATTTTCTATTTACAATGTCACAATGATTTAATCAAGGTTTGCAGACACTAACTGTGCTGTCGCACACTGGGCCTGTGCATAAAACTGTAGACAGGACATAAATTCTGTGTGCCCAACGGGACGCCGGGGCTGCCTCAGATTAAAGGTCTTTGGATTTCCTTAAAACAGAGTCTTTAGATTGCTTAAAGGTTCAACAAAGTTCTTTATTATTGAAAACAAACAGGTACTTTAAGGCTTTCTTAATAGTCTATTGGCTCTCTCTCAATCTTGTCCACTATCTTCATAAACTGTATTTTAACAAATGGGGAAATCCTTAACTTCTAATCTGGGTAGTCTGTCTTTGCCTCTGTTGGCGTGGAGCCCCTGCACCCGGTACCAACTGCTTCTGTCTTCCGTGAGTGACCCTTACCAAGCAGAGCTTTGTAGACTTCCAGGGGAAAAAGGAGTTCAGGTTTTGGTGATGGCTGGCTGAAGTCCCTCAGCAAAGGAGCTGTAAGGCTGCATAGTCCTTGGCCAAGCTACGGGACCTTTCTCCCCGGCCAAGCTGTAGAAGACGAAGCTTTCTACAGGATCTCTTGGTTTTATGTCCTGCATAAAAGGCTTCTCTGTATGGACTGAACCCAAACTGGCTCCTATTCCCTCCAAAACCCAAAAAGGGGGCGGGACCAGGGAACCTAACTATAATTGACAGGTGGCTTGCCCTATGATTGCAGCCAAAAGAAGCCACCTATCTGCAGAGTCCCTGAAATTTAGGACTACAACAAACATTCAATGCAAAGCAAACAAAATTGGAGCTCCTGGTACAGCTGTACCTGCACACTAACACACACACACACCCGACTGCCCATGCAGATCCTATATAGGAACAGTTGACATTTGCTTCAGGAATTTGTTAAAATAACAGTAAAGATTATTTACTGTTTGAATCACTGTACAGTAATTGCAGAGGCAACATTCGTTAGACATTTGCTATGACCTCAGTGTGTTTCCCTCCTTTATCAAAATTGTATAGGCATGCCACTTGCATATTTGTAATTTCAAATCCAAGTTGAAAAGAGACTGCAATATGACACATGCAAGCTGCACCTTCCAACTCTCAGCAGCAGTTTCTTGGGATTTCTTCCCTTTTGCTTTTCTCATATCAGAGTACATTAAAGCAATACAGTGCATTTCTGAGATCTTTAGGACAGGTTTTCACCCATCTGCTATTCTTTGTCTCCCCTCAAGCTGGAATGGGTCATGACCATAGCTCCTCTCCATCCAGGAGCTGAGATGTTCCAACCCAAGAGAATATCACTGCCACTTTGTAAAGACACAACCAAAAGAAACAGCAGTAAAATCAGAATGGTTGACAGCCCACCAGCAAGTCAGCACATAGTGTGTGTCATATTGAAACTCTCACCCTACAGGATCCCTGTCTCTTTGTACACATCATAAAAGCCCTTGGGGCCAAGCACTGTTAAGAATTTATTCTTGGGCTGGTAATAATTTATAAATAATGGAAGAAGGAGTAACAGATTGCTCACTTTTGTCTGTTTCCTTGGAAAGACAATCCACTCAATTTGAAACTGCAGTGATGGAGGCATTACAATTCCCCATTCTAGGTGTTTTCAATACTATGAGTTATTTGTCTGAATCATTTTGATAAAAAGTACTCTCAAATATCATCTTAAACCTTGCTTTGTTCTCAGGAAGAACCTTTTGTCATGGTGGCTGAGAATATACTTGGGCAACCCAAGCGCTATAAAGGCTTTTCCATTGATGTCCTGGATGCACTTTCGAAGAATTTGGGCTTCAAGTATGAGATCTACCAATCTCCGGATGGCAAGTACGGGCAACAGCTGCACAACAGCTCCTGGAATGGTATGATTGGAGAACTAATTAACAAGGTAAATAGCCTTGATGAAAAGAAAGATAGCATTTTAAATATTTTGAGCCACCTTAAATGTTAACTAAAGGAACTGAGTCCTGACAGTCAAGGAAATAATATTTGGAATATTGTTATTCTAATGTGAAAATGTAGACTACAGATACCCCAAAGAGGAACATTTATCAGAAACTTTTAGTTTCTCCTACATTTTTTCAAATATTATACCTAAAGAGCCATTTTTAGAACATTTTCTTGTTAGGGAAATCCTTGGAATGTAATTCATCAACTCCCTCAGTGCCATAATCTTTGCAATAGTCATTGTATTCCTTTTAACTTCCTTAATATGAATGTGGATTTAGGTGATGAATTGTCTTGAAAGTCTAAACCAAACACTTTGGCAATAGCTATATGTTGGAAACCTTCAATATTGGTATAAATTATGTGCAGACAGCCACATAATATGAATTCTCCTTGCATGCTTAATAGGGTCTTTGTCTGCTGTGGGTTTCTTACTTAAAAACCACTCCATTTTGATTTCCCAGTGTGCTGGATGTCAGTCATGTACCTTTCTTATAGTAATAGTATTGTGTAATGATCAGTTGAGTGATTTCCTAAAGAGGAAGCTATAGTTTTGTCTTTAAAAAGAGTATTTCAGTATGGAGAAAATGGAAAACCAATGTCAAAGTGATTGAGTTACATCTGATTTGGAAGCGCTTGTGTTCTCCAAGATTAAGTGAATGCTACTGAAGTGATGCAAAATTTATTTCAGCACAAAATCCTTTAGGGTGCAAATGCTACAACGTATTTTATTTTGGGGAGGGGGGGGATACTTTTGGAAATTCTGCATGTCTAACTACATTGACAATAAGAGGCACTAATATTCAGTAATCTGGTCATTTTCTCCCACATTACATGGAATTACTTGATTTTTTTCCTTCTGGGATAAGATTTTAGAGGCAAATAAAAAGCCAAATACAAGATCAGAGCATGGCTCTACTGGTATTTATTTATTAATTTATTTAAAGCATTTATATTCCACCCTTCTCACGCCGAAGGGGACTCAGGATGGAGCACAACATATGAATGGCAAACATTCAATGCCACAACATAAATGGACTATATATAGACTATAACAAGATACTCTTAATCTTTTCAGTATTTTGAAGCATTTCCAGTTTGCATATACCCTTTCTTGATGTTGACACTCTTTGAAAAAATTATTGACATTCCCATTCAAACTGTTGAGGAGTAGTTGGATTGCAATGTACATCTTTAGTAATCAGTTTATAATAAGTTGATTTGTACCCGGCCACCATCTCCCGAAAGGGACTCGGGGTGGCTCACAAAATCACTTCGAAGTGCTGTATATAAAACACCAATATATAAACATATAAAACAACAATATAAGTCTGAAAACAATGAACATACATAAAACCCAATCTGATAATATTGTAAAATTGTTTTACTCCAGAGCAGGATTCCCTCTGACTCCTAACACCACACAGTTGAGTTAAAATAGCAAGCAGTTTATTGAAGATGGTAAAAGCCAAAGCAATAAAAGTAATCCAGAATAAAAAGGCAAATCCAATTGATTAGGAAGTAAAAAAGAGCAATAAATCCAAAGAGAAACAATCCAAGAAAGTCAATTAAACCAGAGGCTTGATTTCAAAGGCAAAAAAACAACAGCAAAGGCAATTAAACAGGAATCCAACAAAGACAAAGGTCCAGGAACATGGCATGGAGAACTATTCCTGAATCCAACATTCCTTTGTCTGATGCTAGACTCCATACTTGGCACTATATATCTACTTTGTTTCCCAAACAGCTAGGAACGGATTTTTCCTTAGTTTCGGTTTCTTTACTAGCTTCTGCTCTAATCTGGCTGAACGCCTTAGTTTCTGATTTGTTTGTCTCTGCTCGCTAAACACTCTTCTTCTGTTCAAGCCTTCATTAAAATCTGCACCTGGAGATAACTGACCCTGGGACTGCAGCTCAGAACTTTTCCCAGGCCCAAGAATATTTTGATATTCCCTTTGCAGCAACACAGGCCTATCTAACCCATCAACTTAATTGCATTCAGGCCCCACATCCCCAAAACCGGGCCCAGGAAACAGACCATCATCCCCATTCCCTTCAGGAATGTCTTCATGAACAGCATCCCCATTCCCATCTGAGGAATCAACTTGAACATGAACAACATTGTCATTCCCTTCATCCAAAGCAACCTGATCATTAGACACAATCAGAGGCCGAACAGGCTGACATACAACAAAATTTATAAAATGCAGTCAAACCTGCAAATAAATTTGGCTATCTATAATTAACAAATCAAAGTGCAGGAGTGAAAGCAATCACTGAGTTTTCAATCTGACCATAATTTACACGAGGTCAAAGGCCTGTCTAAAAAGCCATGTTTTTAAACTAGCCCAAAAGGCTTGGAGAGTGGGGACTAAACTAATCTCTGTAGGGAGGGTGATCCAGAGCCGGGACCGGATACTTTCTTCAAGACAAAACTAGTGAAGAATTAAATATCCATGTTATGTTGCTGCCTGCTGGAATTATTTTTCTATAGCCAAATAGCTAGCTTGGTATGGCTCTTCTCATATTCTGAGAATGAATTATGATTCTCCAGGCTTCAACTTTGGAACATAATTTCCTAGTTCTCCTTCCTCTAACTCCTTTCCTTATGTGACTAAAAAACTCCACTGAATCAAGAAGCTATTTGACAATTGTTTCTGTTTACTTTTAGAGAGCAGACCTGGCGATCTCTGCCATCACCATAACTCCAGAACGGGAGAGTGTCGTAGACTTCAGCAAGCGCTATATGGATTATTCTGTTGGCATCCTAATCAGGAAGCCAGAGGAGAAGATCAACATCTTTTCTCTCTTTGCTCCTTTCGATTTTGCGGTGTGGGCTTGCATTGCAGCTGCTATTCCTGTTGTTGGTGTCCTAATCTTTGTCTTAAACCGAATACAAGCAGTACGAGCTCAAAATTCTTCCCATTCCAGTGCCTCCACATTCTCCACACTACACAGTGCCATTTGGATGGTTTATGGAGCTTTTGTTCAGCAAGGTACTTGGTCAAATGTTCTTTTTTTCTCTGCTTTTCAATCTTGTAACAAAAGGCTAGGCCATGGGCTTACCTCTAGAAAATAACTGCTTGAAGAGCACATTATATGTTTTGCTTCATTAGTAAAAAAAAGTCTGAGTTTTAGCACAATTTCAAAACACATATTATGTTTTAGTGCACATAAATGCTTGTCAAAACTGTCACAAATTATATTTAGCTCATGCCTCCTACTTTAAAATAAATACTGTTTAGTAATACACTAAAAACATATTTTTTTCTAAAATTAACAATAGCAGCAACAACAAAAGACCTATAAAATATTGTATCTGCTGGAGAGGATTTTTTTGTCTTTAGCCAAGTAAAAATGGTTTAGATTTGTTATGCAAAACATGGAAAGGGGGCACGGAAACTTTGAGTAAATATTCTCTCTCACTGTGGGTGTATACACATACATATACATATTGATCCTTATGTTTTCTACTTTTTTTAAAAAAAGTGATAATATCCCACTACTTTAACTGCATGGTGAAATGATTAAAATGTAGCATCCATCAAAATCCCTCATAGCTATCTTGAACTGCTAAAGATGCACATGCTTATGTGCATTCTTTTGTCAAATTGGATAATACTCCATATACAGAGTCTGCCCCACAATTGTTTTTGCATGATTTTCTGGACCAAACGTAATGACCAGAAAAAATGCTGGGCATCTGTATCATCCCTTGGCATAAAAAAATATCGGTGTAAACACGTTCATCTGAAATCTCTGGAAAAATTGAAAAAGCATGATATTTATCCTTGTACAGTTTGGTTCTTTATAAGAAATGACTGAAAGTTAGTAGTAAAATAGGGTGGAGTTTACTGTATTGCAGTAGAAGAATTTTTCTGCATATCCCATCTCATTGTTTTCACTGCTACACTTCATTTCCTGTCTGACTATTATGCCTATTTTTAGCCTCAGCTGTCACTGGGGAGAGGACTGTATTCACTGTAGGCTATAATTGGCAACATTTCATTGTGCAATAAAATAGACTCATAAAAGCATAAAAATTACCTTCCCGGGTAAGATCAAATTCCATGTAGTCCAACATTTCTCTTGTAACATCAGCCAAATGCATGCCCAGGAAAACTCAAAAAAGAGATAATAAAAATGATATTGGATTGTCCTCTGCTGTTTCTCCCTAGTGCCTTGTAAATAATATTTTGAAGGGCAGATTAGAACTTTTTTGTTACCTTTTTAAAAACTTCCTCAAGACAAGACTGCAGAAGAAAGGCTGAGAGGAGACATGATAGCCATGTATAAATATTTGAGGGGAAGTCATAGGGAGGAGGGAGCAAGCTTGTTTTCTGCTGCCCTGGAGAATAGGATGCAGAACAATGGCTTCAAACTACAACAAAGGAGATTCCGTCTGAACATAGGGAAGAACTTCCTGACTGTGAGAGCTGTTCAGCAGTGGAACTCTCTGCCCCGGAGTGTGGTGGAGGCTCCTTCTTTGGAAGCTTTTAAACAGAGGCTGGATGGCCATCTGTCGAGGGTGCTTTGAATGTATTTTTCCTGCTTCTTGGCAGGGGGTTGGACTGGATGGCCCATGAGGTATCTTCCAACTCTATATATGATTCTATGAATCCTCTAACAAATCCTTTTTTTGACCTAGAAATGTGCAGAATCATTATGGGAATTTTGACTACACTTATTGAAACTCATTTGAGGCCCTTTCTACACTTCCAAATAAAATCCAAATTATCTGCTTTGAACTGGAATATATGGCAGTGTAGACTCATATCATCCATTTCACAGAAGATAATGTGGATTATCTGCTTTGATAATCTGGATTATATGGCAGTGTAGAAGGGTTCTAAATACCTTAAAATCTCTCGGATGTTTCAGCATAGATACTTTGGAGATGCTCCCAATTTTGAGTTTTATTTCACTTCAGAAGTGATCTACTGAGAATCCATAAATGCGTGGATTTCTTGAAGTTCTTTTGGCTTCTTAAGTCATTCAGAAATAGGTTTGATCAATGAGAACTTCAACAAATTTATTTCAACTGCATGCTGTATTCACCAGAAACAAAATTCATTTTCCTATAAAGGTTTCTTCGATGCATAATGAATGAGAATCATAAAAATTGAGATAAACTGATCAGAGGAAACCGTCCTTAGTGGAAATTAGCAATTGAGGTGGAAAGCAACTAAAATTAATGTCCATACTAAATAATGTCCTATTCTCCAGGGCAGTAGAAAACAAGCTTGCTCCCTCCTCCCTATGACTTCCTGTCACATATTTATACATGGCTATCATGTCTCCCTCAGCCTTCTCTTCTTCAGGCTAAACATGCCCAGCTATTTAAGTCGCTTGTCATAGGGCTTGTTCTTCAGACCTTGATCATTTTAGTCACCCTCTTCTGGACACATTCCAGCTTGTCAATATCTCTCTTCAATTGTAGTGCCCAGAATTGGATACAATATTCCAGGTGTGGTCTAACCAAGCCAGAATAGAGGGGTAGCATGATTTCTCTGGATCTATACACTATGCTCCTATTGATACAGGCCAAAATCCCGTTGGCTTTTTTTGCCACCACATCACATTGTTGGCTCATTATGCCAGTGTTTTTGTGCTTTTGAAAAGTTAGCAGCTGCTTTGGCACGAGAAATCCTAACACATACATTTCAGGCCGGTTACTAACTTTGTGTGTTAAACTTTACAATCAAATAAATGAAGAAGCAGATAAACAGTCACATTAAAAGAGTTGAGATCTTTGTTTTTCAATTGGTCTTGTGATATTTTTCAGTGCTCATTTAGGCTGGATCTACAATGTAAGATTGGAACAGCATGATATGATCAGTGTAGATCCATATAATGTATTAGATCCAGCATTACATGGTGAGGACACCTAGCATTATGTTACATCAGTGGTTCTCAAAGTATGCTCCGGTGAGCCCTTGGGGCTCCATGAAGCATCCTGAGGGGCTCCATTGTTTCCTCCTCCTCTCCCTCCAAGCTTCCCTTCACCTTTCCCCTTGCCTCCCTCACCATCAAAAGCCATTTCTCCCCACCTTCTTCACTGCCCAGATCATTCCCCCCTCACATTGCTTGCTTCCAAAACCCCATTTCCCTCACACCGCTCAGGGGGTGCTGTGATTGTTCTTTTCCCACATGGCAAAGGGGAGTTGGACTGGAAGGCCCCTGGAGTCTTCCACTGAAATCCTGTTAAGTTTATGTTGGTCAAAAAGTTTCCCCACGCCTGATGTATCTCTCTCTCTTTCTATCTATCTATCTTGGCACTTCATCAGAAACTTGTGCTTCGAAAAGGGCTTCACAGCTGAAAAAGTTTGAGAACCCTTGGGTTACATTATTGCAAACTAGTCCCATGTTTGAAAATGTCACTATAATAAAACCATCCAACTGTTAAACATAGTACATCCAAGAGGAAGGAGTAGTGATGGAAAACATTCTTCTCTCTGATTTACAAGATTTTCACCTGTTTGCTTGCTTGTTTCTTTGCTTATTACATGACAAAGTATTTACACATGCATCCCATCTGAAATGGTTGAGATCCAGTATCTCATGTGATCTCTTTGCATGGGGTAGTTGACCTTTCAATCACTGAAACTCCAGACGTTGTTTGAACACATAGGGAAATCACATTGATTCAGTGGTTTAACTCTGGTTGGGACTAAGGAGATCCAAGCCTAACTGAGAAATGTAGGCATGGACATCAAAGAGGTCACCTTTGTTGCTTCTTTTTCAGGTGGTGAATCTACAGTCAATTCTGTGGCAATGAGAATTGTGATGGGAAGTTGGTGGCTGTTCACTCTTATTGTATGCTCATCTTATACTGCCAACCTCGCAGCATTTCTCACCGTAAATAGGATGGACAATCCCATAAGGTAAGAGCTTTTCTGCTACCTAGATAAAAATCTGCTACCTAGATAAAAAGTCCAAGAAAACATAACAGAAATGATATTGGACAAGTAGTTCATTAGAAAGTGCTTTAGAAGAGCATTCAGTCCAAGGATACAGAAGGTCTGCAGAAGCTTCTTTAATTGAAATAAGGAAACTTTTCCTATTCATTTTTAAGCAGAAAAAATACAATTTTACTTTGAAACTAAGGCCCCTTATACACTGCCATATAAAATCCAAACTATTTGCTTTGCACTGGATTATATGGCAATGTAGACTCAAATAATAAACCCCTGTGCCGGCAGGACTGAAGACCGACAGGTTGCAGGTTCAAATCCGGGGAGAGGCGGATGAGCTCCCTCTGCCAGCTCCAGCTCCTCATGCGGGGACATGAAAGAAGCCTCCCACAAGGATGATAAAACATCAAATCATCCGAGCGTCCCCTGGGCAATGTCCTTGCAGACAGCCAATTCTCTCACAACAGAAGTGACACTCCTGACACGAAAAAAAAATCCAGTTCAAAGCAGATGATGTGGATTATCTGGATTGTATGGCAGTATAGAAGGGGCCTAAGAGTACTAGGAAACTGCAATGGTACTGTTAACTTAAAGCCATTAATTACTCTGTTTGAGAGGCTACCTACCATTTGGCTACAGTTGTACATTTGCACTATATGAACAAATATGTATTCATCATTATCAGTGATATCTTATGTCAGAGTATGATTGCCTTCCAAGTCTTGGTGGTGGGTCTGTAGGTGACTGTAAAGACCTATTCTTGATCCACATGTTCTTCCATAGTGAGGACATCAGTTTCCAGATTGAAGGCGGTTCTGGTTAGGGATGGCTTGAAGCGCCTTCCGCTTGAGATGTTTCTGCTTTTCACCCTCCATTCATGCCTCTTCGAATTCAGGATACTCTTGGTAAAGTCAGGGCTTCAGAATTATCATTATCTATGCCACCTTTTTTAAGGTTAGTTTTAAGCCCAACTTTAAATATCTTTTCTGGACCCCCAACATTCCGTTTTCCATTCTTGAGTTGAGCATATTGTTGGGATTCAGCCTCTGTGTGACCCTGTACCTGATACTTTGATTGTATTTCCTGATGCCAATGTAGATGTCAATGTTGATTCTGAGGCCAATGTAGATGTTAATACTGATGATGGGTTGAATAGTGAAAATCCTACACCCTTGGAAAGTGAAAGTCAAAGTTCCCATGAGAACATTCATTCTGAACCGAGCGGAGAAGTTTCACTCCCCTTTTCTCCCAGTCTTAGTTCCCCAGAGAATCTGACACCTGGTCAGCCTAATGAGGGAAGGAGGGGGCAGATTTGGCAGAGCAGGGGAGAAGCACAAAGTTTACGGAGGTCAGAAAGATTGAAGAAATGCAAACAAAAACTTCAGGCATGTCTCGTAATAGATTTCTCTCCTTTAAGAGTGCCGGGTCTGAAGCTGCCTTCAGACCAGGCATCGTTCCAGTTTAAAGTGCAAGCCTGTGGAGGCCTCCTGATTCATGTGGCTGGGTTTCTCGTAGTTTCTCAAGTTGTTCCAAGTGTCGTTAGCTGGGAGCTAGCAGATTTCATGATTCATCAAGGGTAACTCACCGTTTGCTGTGGTTTTTTATGGACTTATTCATGGACATTGCTTGTTGCTGTTTTGCTATGGTTTTTGTTTACCTCTGATTCTTCCTCTGCTTGCATTCAACGTTCTTTAATAAAGAAGAATTGTATTACTGCAGTCAAGTGTGGTGAATTGATGTCAAAAGGGTCCAGTTTCCTGCTCTGGGTCGCAAAACATATAGTAACTGCTTTGGGAAATGGTGATTGGGCCTTTGGACAACATGGCTGGTCCAGTGAAGTTGATGGCAAAGGATTATTGATTTAATGCTGGTGGTCTTTGCTTCTTCCAAAATGCTGATATTTGTCCATCAGTCTTCCCAAGAGATCTTCAGAGTGTGATATCTGTAAATGGGCCACATTTAATGGGAGTATAACAGGGTTGGGAGCACAATATCTTTATAAACAAGCATCTTGGTATCCTTATGGATGTCCCAATCCTCAAATACTCACTGCAATGCGTATCATATGTCAATGTGATAAATTGACCTGCCATGCAATAAACTTCATAGTTTTATTCTTAGTAGTACATTTTAGCCTTTTACCTTGTTCTGTGTCAGTGATTAAAACTTTCAGCTATTCATCTTGAGGTGTGATTACATCCAGCTGTCAACAAAATTGGCAAGAGTCAGCTTCCAGCCAATTCGTTGCAGTCAGTGATGATGTACAAAGGAGATAGCAAGACAATTTCATTTGAGGACACCTGCTTGAAGAGCTAAAATGGGAAAAATTGCTGTTTTCAACCTGCATTGTTGAAAACAATAACTCAATCCTCAATTTCTTCTTAACACTAAGCAACTGCTCACCAAGTCCAGTCTTTTCCCTGTTGTCAGAGCAGATTACCTCGGTTCGAAAGGATCCAAAAGTTTTTTCCCTTTTGCTGAAATTGTATACTGGAGAGAATAATTCATGCTACAGTGCACTGTATCTGTATTTGAAATTGAATTTCCTATCTCTGCCACCCTTTTGGATTTTCTGTTCACTCTTTCCTCCAAACTATAAGAATTCCCCAGGACCAACTTTCTGCTAAGACATATCTTGTGCTCCAAAGCTTGGTCTCATGTGTCTGCATTTTCCTTTAGGTTTGTGCCACTATTTTGAACTCAGACGTGACTTCTCAGTGGATAATAATAGGGTACTTGGAAACCAAAGTGTTTTAAGTATGTTAGGCAAACCATTTTCTCTTGCTCTCAAGGGCGTCACACCCAATTTGTAACAGTGAGATAATACTTTTTTCTTTGTTTCTCAGTTGTTCTTAAAAAGGGCACAGAGAGAAACCACACAGTCAATCCTAAAGTTCAAAGAGACCATGTGAGCCATCCATTCCAAACCCTTGCTCCTCATAGAATTTAAATACCAAACCTTAATTATTTTGATTGCTCTCTTCTGGACATATTCTAACTTGTCAATGGAATTCTTGAATTGTGGTGCTGAAAACTGAACACAGTTTTCCAGATGAGATGTTACCTAAGCTGAACAGAATCGGAACATTTTGAGTCCATAAAGTGTGACCCACACCTCTTAAGCATAAATTTATGATAAGTGTGGTAGCTGTCTCTAGAGTTTGAATATGCGGATTCCTGAATTCCTGGCATCTCCAGATAAGGTTGGGGAGATTCTACCATCCATTTGAAGCTCTAGATAACTTTTTTTGTCAGTCAATGTACCATAGGGGTTGGACTGCAAGCCTCAACCCCTTCCAGTCAGCAGACCTACAGACCATGCTGGGTGGATGAATAATAATAATATTTATTTATTTGATCAGTCATATGACCATTTCAAAATAGAACACGAGTAAAAAACAAGGCAACAAGGTGAAGACAGCAGCCGACCTTCTATTTATAGTCAGAATCTTATTTTCCTGGTTCTTCTTTCAGGAAATCTGTTCTTTTCTTAATAGCTTTCAGAATAAAAAGGCTTACTCTGATTATGCTGGATCTTTCCTGCCCTTGCAAGAGGGATGTCAGAATATCATTTCTGTTGGGGGACCTGCAGTTGGATAATACTGGATGTAAATATCTGTCTCGCAGTTCAGTATATGCTGGACAGTCAATTAAGAAATGTTCAATGTCTTCCACTGTTTGTTCTCCCCAGACGCAGAATCTCTCACTTCTTGGGATGTTACAGTAGCGCCCGGTTTGCACCATAGTACCGAGTTGTTCAAACCTAACCCTAGTATATATTCTTCTTAAGGGTACAGGAAGTGGTATAGCTGGGTGGATGATTCTGAGTATTGTAGTCCAATAAGTAACTTGCGCAAACTCTGATGTAGGCAGTATTGAGCTAGTATGAGGCAGAAGTTTCTTATATAACAATACAATCTATACACAGTGTCTTAGTTTCACATGTACCTATAGAAGCTTTCATGTGCATTCTTAGAAAAGAGGTTGGGAGCATTTCTTTTATTTTGTTTCCTAATATCGTTAGGACAGTTGTTTGGACTGTGAGTTGTTGTTTGGTTTTATCCATTACCTGGCACAGAGCTTTTTTGGTAATGCTTCACATTGCTTTATCTATTGATTTCTAGCTTAGACCCAGCAGTAGAATTGTTTTGCTTTTTTAGGTTTTCCAAGACCTTTACAGAAAGATTTGTTTGAGTTTATATTTCATCCAGAAATAAGGAGATTTGGGATACAGGAATGTATAGCAAATAATCTTCTGATCAGATTATGTCATCTTTTTTTCAAAAAAAAAAAAAACTAGAGAGGGAATAGCCGAGAGGGTAAAGGAAGCTATTATAAAATGATTCCAAAAACTTCTCCCTGGATGTAACTATTATGGATCATTATCAGCCTGTGGCCATCATTCCATTTTAGGCAAAGTTTTGCATCCTGTGATGACCTCTCAGCTCTAGGGTTTTGTTTTTTGAAGAAAATTAATTATTTAGATCAATTTCAACCTGATTTCTATGGGACAGAGATTGCTTTGGTCACTTTACTGGATTACCTGCACTGGGAGCTAGTTAGGGGTGTGTCCTCCTGGTAGTTCTCCTAGATCTCACAACCACTCTTGATAAAAATCAACCATGGTGTATTTCTGGATTGCCTTGCTAGGATGTGACCTGGGGGAGGGGGAGTGTTTTGCAGTGGCTTCATTCCTTTCTGGAGGAATGAATCCAAAATATGGTGAAAGGGAACTCATGTTCAACTCGTTGGGTTTTGTCTTATGGTGTCCCTCAGGGTTGAGGTCTGTCTTCATATCATTTAATATAATTTTGAAGTCTTGGCCTAGTTTTACCCCTCTGTTTATTTCTCTGTTTACTCTCTGGAGGTGGACTGTTCCATTCTGCTAAGTTTTAGAGTAGGAGTTTAGGATCCCCCTAGAGAGATCTGTTGGTTCAGCCCATTCTGGCTCAGAGCTTGGTGGAAGGACT